TTTATGGACAGGTTTGTTGGCATCATTAATGTGTTGTGACATAATCCTCCCTACTGCATCAAATCCCTGTGGCATTCTCTTTTCCTCAAAGGAAGATAAAGATGTCTTACTCTGTACATTTCTTAAAAAAGCAAGATGGGGGAGGGAGGGACCAAATAACCTGTGTGAGCCTGGGTGTCCCCAGGGGAGTTTCTTCTACACTTGTGCTCCAACTATACTCAGAAAGAAGACCTCCCATGGGTAATTATTTTCCCTTTGCCATTCAGACCTACCTTGACAAGTTTCAAGGACTCCATTATGAAGAAAGCTTTTAAGACTCATAGAAATGACATTGCTTTAGAAAGTGCTAATGCCTATGGTGCATTGTGCAGCCTGGAGCAGCAGGCTTGCGGCTGCTTTATCACTGATCAGTGGTTTGGTTTTGTGAATGAGAAATTCAGAGGCAACTGTACAATTTAAAATTCCAGTTACCACAGACAAAGAGATACATCTGACATCCTGGTGCAGTAAGCTTTGACTACTTTAATGGAAATAGGTTGGAACTGGGGAAGCCTTCCTCCAAGGAAAGTGATGAAAAACTGCAAGAGAAACATTTTATCTTTGAGATAAAAGGCCTGTTTTCTACAGTTGTTTCTTTCATTAGAACTGTTCCCCAACCTGCCTGCTACTGGTGCTCCATGCAAAATGTATCATTCAAGGAACTGATGCTTTATCATCTTGTCTTTGTACCTAAGGCTTCCTAAGGTGTGTGGTGTGTGGTGTGGGGAGGAAGATCTGGTTTTGTTTATGACTTACATAAATAACATTTCTTCATCTTTTATTGATCCTTAATAATGGATCAGGTACTTAAAAATGGATCAATTTAGGCCGGGTGTTGGTGGCACACGCCTTTAATCCCAGCACTTGAGAGGCAGAGGCAGGTGGATCTCTGTGAGTTTGAGACCAGCCTAGTCTACAAGAGCTAGATCCAGGATAGGCTCCAAAGCCACAGAGAAAACCTGTCTCAAAAAAAAGGAAAAAAAAAGGATCAATTCAACACATTGGCCCAAACATTTAAAATAAATAAAACCAGGGTACTCTCATTGGTCTGCCAACTTGGGCCTTTAGATGTATTCATGTAGAAGGCAGAGGGCTTTTCTGTAGTGATGTAGAATAAGGACCCAAAATGGTAGGCATTCTCACACCCATAAAGCTTCATTTATAATGATGCTGAGTAACAACAGCACCACTATCCGCAAAGGGTCATATCTACGATAGCAACTGATCTTAACACACAGAAGCAGAGGCACATGAATGGAAAACATGTCCCTTTTTCTATTTCCTCCACTCTAAAGGAGCAAAGAAAAGACCCAAATTCCAAAGAGCTAAAGCAAACTGCCATTCATATGGTCATTCCTAGAAATGGCTCCACAAAAATATTTCACTGTTTATTCCTACATATACAAAGATGTTATTGCTTTGCATCCTTCCAATTATTCTGGGGCTATAGGAACAGTGGCTACCTTGGAGGTATGGGTAACAGAGGTCATATAAGGTCAAGAGCATTCTCTGGAGGACCCAGGTGTGGAAGTCTCTCTGGCACATGTAAAGATGCAGTCCTGGTGGGTGCAGATGGACTCAAATATTTTTAGGGAAAAGACTGTGAATCAAGACCACGCTCCTTGGCTCACTTCTGGTCAAGCATCTCTTACCTGAGAAATACCCATGGAAGCCCTCCTGCAAAGAGTGAGAGGAACACAGCTTCCTTATTCCCAAGCTTCTTTTCATTCCACTTTCTCAGTTATCCCAACTCCTCTGAGCTGACTTCTCTCTTAGACATATCCTTCTTAAAATCTCAGCCAAGTTTTATATCCCTAAGCTCCACGGTAACACAGGCTACTCATTGTTCCTGAGAAATCTGCCTTCTGTTCCACTATTTCTAACATATTATACAAGTGCCCTGTAGCTCAGAGGTCAGCAAATGTTTTCTATAAAGGGGCTTATAATAATAACGTTGTTTTGCGGGCCATGCAGTCAATGGTGGGAGGAAAGAGTGACATGGCTCATATAAGACATGTAAATGTTTGTCGTTGTGGACTCAGGCTTGGTCTCCAGTTGTTAGCTTACTGGCCCTTTCTATAGGGTCCACCCTCAAGTAATCTTTGGTCTATGGTTTGCGGATGGATGCCCAGTACCATTTGTCTAGAGAGAGAATGGCCTGAAGGAAGCTAAAAGTCAGTTTTAGTCTGTAAGTGCTGTCCCTTAGTCATGTAACAATTATGAAACCACACACAAAGTTTCTACCTAGATAGATGCTACCATGGAGCTCTTTAAAACCTATGTCATCTTAAGGTAGTCCCTCCAAATGAAACTCTCATGATTTGCCAAACAGACAAGCTGACCAGAACTAAATGATAAGTGTATCTGGAGATCACGTTTTGATATGTAAAATGTTTTCTGAAGAATATTAGCATACTGGAAGTTCTAGGAGGATGGAGAACCATTTGAATCCTGTTATTCCACCAGCTGCTTAAAAGACACAGCGGTGTGATTGTCTAGAAGATACTATCGATAAATATTAGAAAGACTCTAATTTTCAAAAAGTAGGGGTCAACAGACATTAATATAAATGCTGATCCCCTCCACACAAATCTGGAGAAAACATCTCTCATGACTATGCACAAATATTCTGGTTGAAGAGCATTGGGTGGGAGGGTGAGTGGGGGAATTCCTTGACAATTAGGGATGCATTTCACCAGTTTTTAGTCTGAACTGAAATATAATCTTCTCAGGCCTGGGCCTCTGTATTACCTGATGTCCTTTAACAAAATTGAAAACCAGAATTTTGTATCATATATTCCTCTAGAAATCTCTTGATTCATATCCCCAACTGCTAATATTTTTATTGTGTGTTTGTGTGATTTGTTTGTTCTAGAATTCAATTTTGCATGTGTGACCATAATATTGTTCAAATTGTCATAAAATTCCCAAGGAGTATGACTTTTATGCTACAACTGGAAATAAAAACCAGAAGAGATGCTGGGAACCTTTTCTCTTTCTTATTCATAGACAACGGATGTGAGATGGCCAAATGCAATGGCAGTTTGTCTACTTAAATGAGACGAGACACTCCCTCCACCCACCCCCAAACAACCTTATCTTCTTTAAATACTTAGCCACATGTGACTTCAGGGATATGGTATATCTGAAGGAAATGGGGTAGGTTCTTTTAAAAGCTAAGAAGGGCTTTTTATGTGATTTGAAAATGATACCCGTGTGTGATACAGGTAGAGCCTGGCAGAAAGGGCCTATAAGAGGTGCAGAACCCTGGAGCCTCTTACAGGATGCCTTTGTAGATTTCCATGCTGCAAATGGAGCAATTTTAGGTTTCTGCCCTAAGATGGACCCACCCAGTGGCTCTCCATAAGATAGACAGAAAGGGGGTGAGGGGAACCAGGCCTGGCCTAGAAACCAGAAGTCCAAGTCTTGAATCAGGTTAAGTGTCCCTGCTCTGTGGCACCAAGCAGCTGAGGAGTACCTTCCATATGTGCAAACCTCAGCCTGCTGCTTCTGTGTCGTATCAGAACTAGCAAACCTCTTTTTTTTTAATCTCCTACAATAAACCGTTCAGCTTGTGGAATAAGAAAAATTAGAACCTCGTGGAGAACAAAAACAAAAATAAGGGCCACTCGGGCCTACAAATACAACTTTATCCAAGATTGTAGGGCTGCTGCTTCGTCTAGTAGCATCAAGGATCATCTAAGCCAGTTATACCTCTGTTCTGGGCTCCTCAGAGTCCAAATGTGGAAACCACTTGGTTTTTCTACCAGTTTCTGATGCCCAGTCATGACTAAACCATTTCCTTCCAACCACCCAAAATAAACTACAAGATAAATAGGATGTGCTTCTCCTTGCTGAGTGCATTGGCTTAAGGCATAGGCACATTTCCCCCTCTTTGAACAGAGATGGTGTAATCCCCTGTCCCAGCACAAGAGCTGGCCAGGGTGACCCTGGGGCATGGCAATGAAGGTGGGGTGATAAGAGGTAGCTGATGGCGGGAATTAGAGACTATTTCCATATGTGGGTTTGGGTGCTGCTGAGCCCAGGCGACACAGTGATTCTGATGAGGACACATGACTTTGTCTGTATTAACCTGTCATGAGTAATTCTCGCAGCATGTAGTGTCTTAGGTCTGTGATTCCTAAAAACACAGCAGTGAGTTCTGGAACACGAATACCCCAGCACTGACAAAATATGCAAGAGCAAAGCAAGAGAGTTTTGCAAGCCCTTGAAAATATGACATGTCTCTAAATGGCCCACCCATCTCAGCAAACTTGTTAACGTTAGTTTCCCTATGGTACTCTTAGTTAGATTTCCATCTTAAAATAACTTCTCTTGGGGTCTGGGGTTCACTCTTTGGGATTCTGATTGACTTAAGGATTTTGAGTCTGTTGGATAGAGTCATGAGACTCTAAAAGCTTGGAGACAATTTTCCCTTAAATGAGATGTCTCATCCTTGGATTCTTTGTCCCATGGCTTCTAGCCCATGGTGGAAGAGCTGGTATCCTCTTCTATGCTAATCCAAAGCATTTACTCACTGACTGTGGGACAATATGTGAGTTTAAAGGAAGTAGAAGAAGTCGAAGTTACATGAGTGACTTACATTCTATCATAATTCAACCTCCCTGCCCCTATTCATTTAGCCATACAACTAATAGTATGGTCTACAAAGATAGAGTGGTATTTTGATTTCTTGTGACTAATTTCTATGGGTATACCCTATCTTTACCTTGAAGAGCTTAGCTGAAGCTAAGAAAGGGAAACCAAATGTCCATATGTTTAAGACAGCCTCACTATGTAACCCAGGTTGGCCTCCATCACCACAACTTGCCTGGTGTTGTGATTACAAATGCATTAAATGTTGATCATTGCTTGAGAGTGACCCAGAGATTCCCGCCATCACTAATGCCTCTAATGACTCTAAGAGAGAAGCTAGGGGATTACTTGAAAATGTCAATGGATATTCTGTAAGTGCTTTATTCACTGTGTGATTTGAAATTGCCTGGGGAAGATTCTGTCATGTGGGTGATGGGGATGGGATGGAAAAACGACAGTGGATGATGTCACAGGGTCACCCATGGTTCCTTTTGTACTGAAACCTCATTTTATACAGAGGATATATATATTTATTTATATGTATTTATATATATTTATATTCACTCACACGCACAACCCACTCATACACACACTCATACACACACACACAAGGTCTTTGATAGGCTTTCTGTGTTCTAATAAAAATAATTGGCAGCCAATGTCTCAAGCCAAAAAGGGCCTCGATGCTGCCAACAATTGTCCACTGTGGATAGTCCTTCAAAGGCAGACACTTGTGTTTATCTGACAGGTGGAACCAGTTCCTGCCTGGGACAGGAATAACCTCCCATTGGCACAGATGCAGACCTCGAAGACCTTCTGCCTTGTTCCTGTGGGTGTGTAGGATCCTCGAGGCAGTCTAGGTAGTTTGATTTTCGCAGCATCTAACTTAATCTAGAGAGAGAAAAGAGAAAAGAAAGTCATTCAGAGGCTGCCATATGAGTTCTTGAAACTCAGAAAGAGCTGAATATTCCATTCAATTTACACCTCACAAGTACTGACTGTGGGCTGAACAATACTGGTAGTGGGGATAAGACAGACAGCCTCTATTGAGGCTGGAGAGATGGCTCAGGGGTTAAGAGCACTGGCTATTCTTCCAGAGATCCTGAGTTCAAATTCCAGCAATCACAACCATCTATAGTGGGATCAGATGCCCTCTTTTGGCATAAAGTTGACAGAGCACTCATATGCATAAAATAAATAAGTAAATAATAAAATAGTTTCTGATCTCTCTCTCTCTCACACACACCTATAATCTAGCAAGGTTATGCCTTATTGGTTAATGTTAGCATTTTGCAAAAGTGTGATATGCAGAATAAGAATAGTGACATAGAATCAAATAAATGTGGGAATGTCACAGTAAAAAGTTCATTACTATAAGGCAATCATGCCCATGGCCAATATGAAGTTCCCAGAGGACAGTAGAATATATAGCATTGTCTACATTTTAAAAGATTAGTGAACTTTTTTCTTGCTTTCTTTTTCTAATGGTGGCACTAATATTCAACAAAATAAACTTTGAAAAATTCTGGACATACAAAAAATAAGCTGCGTTAAAGGGTGTCCTTAGGGTTTTTTTTTTTAATTATAACTGCCTTCCCCAGAGGTCAAGTTTGAGTGGCTTTGAGCTGCCTTTATGAGTCAGTCTCTGTTTTTATGAGAGTGGCTTGAAGTTCACGGCTATTTGAAGAGGAAGTTGTTATAATGGAAGACTCCATCAGATAAATTCTTTTAAAACAAAAAAAAGCAGATGTCTAACTAGACCAAACATTTTTTTAAAAAGATTCCACTGAGTGGATATAATTATGCAAGAGAGCTAGGCACTCTCTAAGTAGATGTGTAAGGTGGAGTAGTGTTTTACCTTAAAAAGTCAGGCTGCCCTTTTATTTTAATTCTTAAGTGAAACAGTTCACCTATGAACATTTAAAAAAATCCCGTTTTAATCTGCCGTCAAATCAGACTTTTGCTGCTAGGAGAACTTGGCTTAAAAATACAAGTGGCATTTGTGTTCCATGACTGGGGTTGTGTGTGGGTAAGGAGAGTCAACAACACTTACTCTTTGGCCATCTACTTGATCTTGTTGGGTTCTGGCTTGTTTTGACTCGGGGTAGTGCTTAGACCCAACTTCCCATTCACAAAGAGAATCCAAGCACACAACATAAAATAATTACATGTGAATTAAGTTCATTTTAAGTCATATGAGTGTTATATACAACTTAATTATGTGTGTGGATGGACAAAATTTTATTTTAAGCCTATGAGAAACAGATAGATGGAGAGAGAGAGAATTTGGAAACAGTGCTTATTTTCGCAGTCCGTGTGATTTTGTACTTGGGACACATACTCAGCATTATCCTGGTATATCACAAGTAATGCATCATAAATTTTATGTATGGTTTGACTTATAATCATCCTGTTCAACTGTCTCTTGGACTCATTGGGTTGATACTGTGTAAGATTAATCTCAGTGCAAACCAACCTAGGGGAAAGGTTGGCCCCTCAGGCCACTGAACTCCAATTTCTGTCCTTCCCACTCCTTACCTCTCCATCCTTGGATTCCAGTCTCAGCTCACTTCTGCAGGTGGCTTCCATATTGCCTGCTTCTGCATTTATTTCTACCCCTTTTGGGGCTTCCATCACTAGAGATCGTGTTGGGGACTCCAACCTGAAATACAAGCCACAGATTGAAGATCCTTTTTCCTGCGTAGGAATTTCAGGAAGCAGATGATCATGGCATTGGATCTAATTTGTCTAGGTTTTGCCTTACAAGAATACATGTCTGTGACAGGAAAGTGTCAGGGTTCTAGGCTTATCTTCTCCACATTTCACAAAGCTTGTAAGGAAGGTATTCTAGGATCATAGCTTTATCTTATACCTGATGATTGTTTTTATTTCTTTTTATTAAAATTAAACATTTTACCTATATCTCTCATTCTCCATGATTATTAAAAGTAAGAGGATTCTAGCACCTAGCTTTCTAGAATGTTTTCACTCTGTTCTGATTGTGCCTTCGTAAGATCCAGACAGTATGGCAAAGTCAAGAAAATAGATCTAGGTTGCTGGAAAGATGGCTTAGAGGTTAAGAGTGCTCTAGGGGTATCCGATGCCCTCTACTGGCCTACTCCATCAATTGCATGCACATGTATATACAACTCCTACCCCAAACATATACATACACAACTAAATTAAAAATAAGAGGTCAAACTTTCACTGTTTGCAGATGATATGATAGTTTACATCAATGACCCAAAGAACTCTACCAGGGAACTCTTACAGCTGATTAACACCTTCAGCAAAGTGGCAGGCTACAAGATCAACTCAAGAAAATCAGTAGCCCTACTATATACAGATGATAAAAGGGCTGAGAAAGAAATCAGAGAAACATCACCCTTTACAATTGCCACACACAACATAAAATACCTTGGGGTAACGCTAACCAAACAAGTGAAAGACCTGTATCACAAGAACTTTGAATCTTTTAAGAAAGAAATTAAAGAAGCCCTCAGAAAATAAAAAGATCTCCCATGCTCTTGGATAGGTAGGATCAATGTAGTAAAAATGGCAATCCTGCCAAAAGCAATCTACAGATTCAATGCAATCCCCATTAAAATCCCAGCACAATTCTTCACAGACCTTGAAAGAACGATAATCAATTTTATATGGAAAAACAAAAGACCCAGGATAGCCAAAACAACCCTGTTCAACAAGGTAACGTCCGGAGGCATCACCATCCCTGACTTCAAGCTCTATTATAGAGCTATAGTCCTGAAAACAGCTTGGTATTGGCACAAAAATAGACAGGTAGACCAATGGAATCGAATTGAAAACCCGGGTATTAACCCACACACGTATGAACATCTGATCTTTGACAAAGAAGCTAAAAATATACAATGGAATAAAGAAAGCATCTTCAACAAATGGTGCTGGCATAACTGGAGGCTGTCATGTAGAAGAATGTGGATCGATCCATGTTTATCACCATGCACAAAACTTAAGTCCAAATGGATCAAAGACCTCAACATAAATCCAGCCACACTGAACCTCTTAGAAGAGAAAGTGCGTGGTACCCTTGAACGAATTGGTACAGGAGACAGCTTCCTGAACATAACACCACTAGCACAGACAGCAAGATCAACAATTAATAAATGGGACCTCCTGAAACTGAGAAGCTTCTGTAAGGCAAAGGACACAGTCAACAAGACAAAAAGGCAGCCCACAGAATGGGAAAAAATATTCACTAATCCCACATCTGACAGAGGGTTGATCTCCAAAATTTACAAAGAACTCAAGAAGCAAGTCTCCAAAACATCAAAGGACCCAATTAAAAAGTGGGCTGCAGAACTAAATAGAGAATTTTCAATAGAGGAGTCTAAAATGGCTGAGAGGCACTTGAGAAAGTGCTCAACATCCTTAGCCATCCGGGAAATGCAAATCAAAACAACTCTGAGATACCATCTCACTCCTGTCAGAATGGCTAAAATCAAAAACACCAATGACAATTTATGCTGGAGAGTATGTGGTGAAAGGGGGACACTCCTCCAATGCTGGTGGGAGTGCCAACTGGTTCAGCCACTTTGGAAATCAGTATGGAGATTCCTCAGAAAAATGGGAATAAACCTACCACAAGACCCAGCAACTCCACTCTTAAGCATATATCCAAAAGATGCCCATTCATACAACAAAGATGTCTCTTCCACTATATTATAGCAGCATTATTTGTAATAGCCAGAACTTGGAAGCAGCCTAGATGTCCCTCAACCGAAGAGTGGATAGAGAAAATATGGTACATTTACACAATGGAGTACTATTCAGCAGGAAAAAAACAATGGAATTCTGAGATCCACAGGCAAATGGATGACACTAGAAGAAACCATCCTGAGTGAGGTAACCCAGTCACAAAAAGAGAAACATGGCATGTACTCTCTCATATATGGATTTTAGACATAGATCTGGGGAGGGCCAGCCTACAATCCCATGGCCAGAGACTCTGGGAAACAGAAACTTCATTCAGTGGCTGATTTAAGAAGAGGCAGACTCCCTAGGTTAAGTACTAAGCTGAACTCAAGAAAGCCAGTAACAGAGAGGGAGGACTGATGACCAAAGGGATTAAGACTGGGCTGGTTTAACCCCCAGAAACAGCTGACCTGACAAAGGTTAACTCTTGAATCCCAGGCATCAGCCTGGGAATCCAGCATGGGACTGATCAAGACCCCCTGAATGTGAGTGTCAGTGAGGAGGCCTAGGTAATCTATTGAGCCTTGGGTAGCAGATCAGTACCCATCCAAGTATACATACGGACTTTGGACTCCCATCCAACAATGTGAGGTGCACTCTCACCCTGAACTCTTGGGGAAGGGTCTAGGCCCTGCCCTAGATGAAATGACAGACTATGGACACCCCCATGGAGGGCCTCACCCTCCCTGTGGAAATGAGGGGATAATGGGTGGGTTGGGGAGAGGGCATGGGAGGAGGGAAGGGAAAGGGAGAGGGACCTGGAACTGACTTGTGAAGCAACCTTGTTTCTTATGTAAATTTAAACTGAAAAATAAATAAATAAAAAAAATCATAAGTGCCTATTTTGGGTCACTTCTAGGAGCACAGTGGAGAAGTCCTAAATTGGGGTTTAAAAAAAAAGATCATTTAAAGTAAGAAAATATATGTAAGACAGTCTTAAGCACAACAATTTAAACTTAAAACATAACATTAGCCATCATAATAAAGGGGACACCTCATGGTTTGATTTTAAGAGATCTATAAAGGAAAATTGCCTCTAACCTGCAAGTCCCATTTGCCCAAGGACAGATATATAACTTCTTGAAATGCTGGGTGCTGCTGTTCATGTACAGTAACAAGCTGTGTATTTTTACTTTTGTAAACAAGCTTGCTTGCCTCAACTGCACAATACGTATTCTTGATTGCAGGAAGGCATAACATACATAGCCTTGTGAGTTCTGCTTTCCTAAGCCCCTGACTAATGTAATTTGGTGACATACTCTGAAGTATGCATCCCAGATATGGACCTGGCCAGTATCTATGGTCTCTTATTTATTAAAATTTATTCATGGTCATACTGGTGAATCTTTGAATTACTCCAGATTCATAACATTATAACCACAGTCAATTATTTTTTCTTTTCCTCCCTAAATCCTCAAAACCTCAGTTTCTTTATCTACAAAGTTCAAGTCAGACCTGGAATTAGAGAATATGACTTGCTCTAAAATACCATGCTTGCAGGTGGAATATTACTTACCTGAGATTCTTGGAAACCAAACTTGTTCTGAGTTTGGAAATGTCTAGAGCTTAGTAGACCTTACTGGAACATTCTTTATCTGAAATCCCCAAATGCTCCAGATAATGGCTTTCTAGTGGCACTCAATTATTTTTGGAATTTGAAGCATATTGAGACTTTTCAGATTAGGGACAGTAACTCTGCTCTAGTGTTGGCATTGTTATATCAGCAAAAAAGAGTTCTTAAGTCCCACTTTGTGATGTAGATTTAGAATAGACCAAGGGCTGCCTGGGTCAGGGAGGGGCACTAGTTGAGGCATGAAGAGGGATCATTTTGGGTGGTGGGACAGTGATATATATCTTGGTTATAGTTCCACATGGATTCTGTGTCTTTATGCATTTTTGAAAATACAAAATGATGAGTCAATTCTAGCAATTTGTAATAAAAATTAACCTTGTTCTATGTCAATTATAAGGGCAAAATGGGATGGTATGCCACCACAAGTTTTTTGACCAGCTTACTTTAATGAGAAAGAGTTCAGTCATCCCCATTGATCTTCTAGATTTGAACAATGTTATGAACCCCTCTGATAAGTGAGGGGTTCATGAAGATCCTCTTCATTTCAGAGAAAGCAGCTCATCCAAGGAGCAGGACCTAGCAATGGCTTTAGAATTGTCTTTCTTCTTCAAGTCAGTTTCCCTAGTTACTGTTTCCAACTTTCATATTTCTTGAACATGTTGAAAAGTGTATCTCCCTTTTACCCACTGCTGGCTTTCCTACCACTCCATTCATGGGTAGGCTAACCTTTTAGTGCCTCAGAAAAATGGTCACAAGGACAAACTAGCTAGTGAGTTGTCACCACAGAGCAATTCCATCATATCAATATAGATACTGGGCAATGCTCCTCTACCCCCCATGTTCTCAATTACTTCCAGGATGCAGCCTTGTCCTTGAGGGTTCCCCTCATATAATAACTTCACCGGATTCATAAAGAGAAGTATCAGGGCCACCATACATCTCCTTACAAAAGACTTTCCCTTCTACTTGGTTCATTCTTTCCTTACTGATCTCACTTCCCTGTGTGTTGCAAAAATCTCTCCAATCCATAGTCTCATCACAAGACTTCCACCAAGATTGCCCCAGTCAGGTCCTTTTTGCTTATTATATGACTTCATTTGCAGAGGGCTTTTCTCAGGGAATAATCTCAGTGCAGTGTGGATGAACTTTTGTTACTAGCACAAGAAGAAGCCATGTTCATTCAGGGCAACCAAGCTTAGACTTTCATTTAACCCATGAGTTTGTCCCAGGTTGATGATCTCCTCTCACTCCTGACACAGACAGACAGCTTTGGACACTCCCCTCGCCTCCCCCCTCCTACAGAGTCTGGCTAATTTAGGCAGATTATCCGGAGTTGTCTTACCTCTTGACTTCTAACA